TCAGTATCAACCACTCTTGACCCGGGCATTTCAAGCCCTCGTACAGAAAAAGGATTTGAGTGATGACGTCCAATTCTGTTTCATTCCTGGTGATCGGTCAATACTTATTCCCGTGTGTGACTTGGGATTTCTAGAAGCTGGGAGCCCGTTTCCCTCAGGATTCTGCTTGGGCCCACTTGCCCTCCCCTTCCTCCTCAGCTTGGTGCTTCTCCACAGATCACTGCAAAGGAGTAAATGGGAGGGAAAGAAGATCGTGTCCTCTGAGCAACTCTCCAGGGAAATAGGAGACTCATTAAAAGGAATCTGCAGCCTCTCTTAATTCCCTAATCTCTGTAGACTGCTCCCTCCCCTCAACACCTACAGACAGGGTCATCCAGTACTTACTTCCTCTCTGTACCAAGACTCCCAGAGTAGCTGGATTGGCTGACTTTGTAAATATGCTGCACACACATACACAAGCATGCTCAGTGCCCACACAAGTTGAGTTCAGCTAGTGGAGCATTGGAGCAGTGCTGAGGAATAGGGCCCTTCCTGGTCTCTGTCCCTGGACGTGGTGATGGATGGACTTCCCTCCTTGAACACACGCAGTCTGAATTCCCACCATTTACTCTGAACACATTTTACAACCAGGAAGAGACGGGCTCCTGGGAGAGCCAGCTTCTCTTGAATGAACTCGGAGGGTTGGTACCTGTAGGAGTGGCTGGGCAGGTTCCTCTTTCACAATCACAGAGCCCTTCATAACCCTGCTGTTCCTTTTGAACTAGGTACTTCCCGTGCAAGGAAGGGCTTTTGCTTCAGTCCTGGAAGCTCAAAAGACATCTGCTTATTGAATTGGATTGCCCTCGACTTGTTGACTCTCGTGCTTAGTTTGGGAAGAAACAGTGGTGTGCTTAGGGAAAAGGGAAGTTGGGGGAGGAGAAGGAAGGAAAAGGGAGATGGTCTCCAGAGGTGATTCAAAGAGGAAAGAGAGAGAGAAGGCAATGTTCTGGGAAGGAAAGGTTCTGTGTACAGTCTGGGACCTACTTTACTCAGGTAAAATGCTTTTCTGAAGAGCCAGTGCCTGCCATGTCCCAGCATAGGGTTCATAGCTCAGATCCAAAGACCCACTATAGCATATAAACACATTCTGAAGGGAAATCAGGAGAGGTGTAGATTTCTCATCATGCCACCCAGGCTGGCCCCGAACTTGCTATGTAGCCAAGGTTGACCTTGAACTGCTGACCCTCCTGTTTCTACCTCCCAGGAGAGGGGATTGTAAGTACATATACCACCTCAGCCAGAGTGATTTAGAGTTCAGATCAATAGTACCTATTTCTAGAAGAGGGAAAAATGTTCACAACTGGTTAATATCACCCAAATCTCGCTGCCATTGCTGGTGGCAAGAGATAGACAAAAAAAAAAAAAAAAAAAAAAAAGAAAGAAAGAAAGAAAGAAAGAAAGAAAAGAAAAAAAGAAAGAAAGGAACTATCTTCATAATTGTTTTTTTGTGTTTAAGGAACCAAAACAGACAAGAATTATCCAGCATCATCTCTCTCTCAGGTGAGGGGGAAAAAAAGCTATTCTTGAGTTGGAACCTCTATCTATGCTGTCACTAGCCCAGCATTCCTTGAGCCTCACCCAGAGGCCATTTCCAGCAGAGTGGCTTCCCTTCCTACAAACCTAACCCATTACCCACTTTGCATTCTGAGGTGTTTCGAGCAAAACAGTAAATTGGTACCATATGAGGGAGGGTGTTCAAAATGCAAAACTCCTAAATATTGTAGGGCCCCCTCACTCTTACAAGGGCATCGATGGTGGGAGGGTCCATCCGTAGAGGTCTCTGAACAATACGACCAGCAAAAAACAATTTGTCAGCTCCAGACATCAGCAGCAGCCTCATGCTGACCTCCCTGGTTGACCCCCAGGGAGGGGAATTGAAGAATAACATTATAAAGTGGGAGAGAGGTAAGTGAGTATTAGGTTAACGGAACAGGCAAGCCATCCCAGGGCAAAATGTTCAGAGGAATTCATAAGGTTTTGTTTTGCCATTGATTCATTTATTCTATTGTTTTAATAAACACTCATTTGCCCACGTTAGGTCAGAGGTGATATTATGACTTACCTGGATACCAGCTTTTTACACATGGTACTCTTTACCACTTAGACCGGGCCTTTAGTGCCCAATTCAAACCTCATCATTTCCCAGAAGCCATCTGAGATTAGACACCTGTTTTCTGAGATTAGACTCCTGTTGTTTGTTCCCAGTGGGACACCTGCTGTCCTCCACTATACATGTCCTCGCCACAAAAAAAAAAAAAAAAAAGAATCATCACTGGGTGGGCCTCTCCTAACCAGCTCTTTGAAATGGGATTTAAGGCTACTCTAAACTGGGTTATCTTCCACACACACTGAGCCATTTGGGTTTAAATATATGGAAAACAGTCTTCTGGGCTGTTGGTCATATTTACATTCAGCATATAATAGGGAAATGCAGTTGGGGGAGAAACATATGGGTAGCTATCTGGATTATTTGGGAGAAATCAGGAAGTGAACTTGGGTGTGAATGTGTGTTGGGGTGAGGGCTAAATTAAACAAACAATTGTGTAGCTGTCAAGTATCACCCTTCATGATATTCTTCAGTATTGGAAGCCATTTCTCCCACCTCTGTATCAAGGATGCTTTGGAGACTTAGGGGCTAACTTCTTGTGCAGAGAGAATGGGGTAGACATGAGAGAGTTCTACCAAAGCAGCCAGGTTTCCTAAACCCAGTGAGGACTTTCACTTTTTCTGTAGGGCAGTGGGGATAGGAATCAGCCCCACTTTCTTTTATCTCAGGGAAAGGATGGCCACCCCACCAACCACACACCACTGTTTTCTCTCTTGAAAAGCAAAGGTGTTATAAGATGTTTACAAATAATAATGATGATAATAATGGCAACTTTTGATAATATTTCTTTCTTCCATTCTCCCTTTTAAATCAAGGATTTGGGAATTCCCTTCCTTCCTTCTGATACCTGTTGTTTTTCAGAGAAATGTTGTTAATGCAAATCGTCACTCTTTTTAATGGAAAGAGTCTCCAAAGTAAGTATAAGACTTTGTGCGCAAGCCAAATTGTAATCCAGAAGAAACCACCATTTACATCCCTTGATAACTGTGGGATTTGAAAAGCTTGGACAACCATATTGTGTTTACTTAAAAACAAAACAAAACAAAAACTTCACCTAACAGAATTCAAAATAGTCCTCTTTTATTATTTGGACTGTTTCATTTCAGTTTCATAAAATGTACTTATTTTCCTGCCCAATTAGGAGATTTAAAAAACAATTTGCCTCGATTTTAAGAAAACGATCTTTGAAGTTTTAAAAATAAGAATGGTTGGAAAGATCTTCCTCTTCAGATAGCTGTTCAAAACAATCATATCCCCCACTTCCTTTCAGAGAGCAGAACTACCATGTATGCTCAAAACCTATTTGTTTGCTTGTTTGTTTTGAAGTGGAACAAATCTTTAAGTGAGCATTTCTAGAATTATTATGCAGCAGAAGCAGTGGGATTTCCTACCAAGAAAATCTGCATTGAGAGAGGTACTAAAGTCTAGGGAGCATTGAAGGAAAGTTTAATGTCCAAACAAAAGCAGTATTACCATCACTATCCATTCTCTCACCCGGAGGAGAAACAATTAATGATTTGCATATGCTCATGACACAAATTAAAGACAAAAGACCCCTCAAGGGCTGTGGTTACTACAAAAATCTCAGCATGGTGCAAGGTTTTGGCCCTGCACTGCTTGCTCTAGCTCCAAATGAATAGCATTAAGCTCCATAACCAAAAATAGGGGTTGTGGGCCCTCTGGCCTATTCCCACTGTAGAATCCTGTTCCCCAATCAGAAACGTCACCCAGTCTCCTCTATGAGTTTCTAGGCAAACAGAATGTATAGTCCCAAGGGGGAAAAATAATGTATATACTTTGCCCTTTTATTTTAATGGCCAAACATTGTAATGCTAGCTAAATAGAAATTCTCATCTGCTAATAGGTTCCTTTAGTTTGTAATAAATAGGAATGCTAATGACTAAAATTTGGTATTTGGTATGCATTAGCTTCTCCGAGCTTTTCTTTACAGCCCTCATTGACATGCAATATGGCAAGCTTCCTTTGAAACATATTTATAAAATAACTACAGTATAATTAAACCAACAAAGCATCTTTTAAGGAAGCCTAATAGCTCAGGGTTTTTTTTAATCTCAGTAAAAAATTCATTTTAAAAAGAAAAGTAGTTATGCCTCAATCCCACTGTATAGTTTATTCCGTGCATCTAATACTTCCTTTACAGCTACAATCTGCGCATATCTAATTCTTTCTGACAACCATGATTATTAATAAAGAGCTCATGAAAGATATACTTCATAGCTTCTTCAACAAGAATAACGTTTTTTTGTTAATGGAAATTGTAACATATCTTGACAGATACAATATATAAGATGTGCGTTTCTCTCCCCCCCCCTTAATTGTTAATTTTGCTGTGCTGAATACAGCCGATATGGCAGGTGATAATCAGAGTGGATGCTATTTTATACAACGTAACCAAAAATATTTTAATGCTATAAAAGCAATAGATAAATAAAAGGAATTATGTTTAATTTTGCTTCCCCGTGGCCGCCGTTTTTGTTGTTGCTGCGGCTGCGGGTTTGTTTAACAGAAGAAACCAGGAGCTCCAATACGCCCCTTCTCTGCCCTTGGCCGCTTCAGAATTCCGAGTGAGCAGGGCCCGGTTGAACACACAGAGGCTCAAGTTCACCGAGTTTTGTGCAGTTTGTAAGCCCTTCCACTCTCCCCAGAATTCCAAAGATACCAAGGCGTGGGAGTGGAGCTGCTAGAACGAACTGAGGCCCCTCGTTCGCCCCTCAGACCCCTCTACTCTGCCGTGCACTCTTCTCTCCCTTCCTATGAAACTCAGTGCCGGTGGCCGAGGAGCTGCCGAATCCCCTACGCACCCCCCTGCGCAGAGAATAAACACAGTTGACACCACTGTTATAATCTTTATTTAAAACAGTTTCCAAGGTTACAAATTGCAGTGCCTCGTATGCAACAGGTTCATCCGAAGCGGTGTCATTACAGATTAACTGTAATGTGTAGGATTAAAATAAAAACATAAGGGATTAGGTAAAATGGGTGATGCTTGAGAAATAACCGAGCGCATCTCTACTGAGAGTCCGCAGAGAGCGCCTGCGAAGACGCTGGGCATCGGGATGCCGCAGCGCACCAAGCTGGACCCTCGTTCCCCGCGAGCCGTCAGGAGCCTTGGTTTTGGTAGGGTCATCGCGGCTAGAGGCTGAGGGGTGAAGCTTCTGGAGCTCTAGGGAGGAGACGCTGGACTCACAAGGATGGGAAAAGCCAAGGGCCAGGGACTATCCAAGTGGACATCGCGGGCAGGCCTGTAGTCCGGCTGGGGGCGAGAGGGAGCGCGGCGGCGCCAGGGACACGGCTCCATTGCCTGCGTCCTGCAAGAGGTGAAGGGGACAGCAGACCCACAGAAGGTCACTGGGTTTGTACGTATGACTGACATTCAAGGCCCAAGCCTGATGGGGTCCTATATGGAGTCCTCTGTTAGTCCCCGCCGTTGTCCCCACTCCTTGGCCATCCAAAGTCCGGATCCACCACTCAAGTCACATACACCCCTCAGAGCCCAGATCTTGGGCCTTCACAGTCCGCTGAGGCCCTGAACCGTTCCCGGCCACCTCCCCTTCCCTATGTCCCTCGTGCCCTCTGGCTTCAGGAAGACCCCGGAGCCCTCCTGTCCCCTCTGCTTCCTGTGGGACCAGAACTCGGGGCGAGGCGGGGGCTAGACTGTGGCCTGAGCCACGCCCGGAGCGGCTGACGCAGCCTCGAGGGCTATTTGTGCATCGGGGTGGAGGGCTCCGGGCTGGAAAAACAAACAGGGCCAGGGCTCAGCGACTTGGAGGCTGGCTGGGGGCTGGAAGGAAGTATGCAGTGTGGCCAGAGAGGGAAACAAAGCCAGATCCCCAGTCCTGTCACCCCGCAGTGACCCCAGACCCGCCCCGCTGAGTCGTGGGGCTCCTGGGCCTTTACTCTGACCCGGTCGCGCAGCTCGGCCAGCCCACGCCAGGTGCTCCTAGGGCTCCGGGCCACCGCTGTCGCCGCTGCTGCTCCATCGTCTCCTCTCCCCGCATCCATGGAGACCCAGCGGGCAGCCGGCCCGAAGGCACGATGGCCAGAGCAGCAGTCAGCGAAGCCGCACCCCTCCGCGAACACCAACCGACCAAGGCTGAGGGAAACGGTGTAGATACCCTCCATCAGAGAACCTGGAGACTCTGGGGTTCACTAATAGCCACAGCAGTGCAGAGCAGCCAGGGAAGAGGCGCGTGGAAGAAAGTGGCGAGCAACTTCACTGAAGACTCCTGCTTGCAAGAGAAGGGCCCTGGCTAAGGCGGTAGCGGGAAGGGGCTGTTGCAAACAGCTGTTCCTCATACATATTTCATTACACAATCAGATAATGCGTCCCACTACCTTCTCAATTATTCACAGATAAACATTTTCAAGACGTTTTGACATCTGTCTTGGTGCCTGCTATTAATTTAGTAATCACTGTAGTTAAAAATGTATGGGATTTTTTTTCTGTCGGAGTACCTCCTCTCTGAGCGCGAGCCCAGTGTTGGGCTGCGGCAGAGAGCCTGAGCCCTCTGGGAGTGAAGACACTTGGGAGGTGAGACGACATCTCTAGAGCATTGACACTGTTATGGAAAGGATTAAAGGGGTATCTGGTTATTTTAATTTATTGTTGAAGATAATGACTGTCAAATCACACACGTGCACACGCACCCAACGGGTAATATCCTATGCCAACTCTAGAGCCACAAGGATGTTTAGCCCTTAGACCTGGGTAACAGAAATGGTTTGTTTCATCTAGGAAGCAAGAGTTTGTTGAGAACGTGTGGGCAAGCCAATAGGAACCCATACATGCAAATACATACATGCTTTGACACACACAAAAGAATTTATCACTATACAACAAAACCTAACAGTTGTGGGTGCTACCCAGAGTTCACAAACCTCCAAAGTTTTGCCCCTAGTTCTGTGTCCTCTGCAGAAGTGACAAAGGTGAGAAAGAAAAATAAATTATGTCCTGTGAAGTATGCGGAGCCTTCCGGGTTAGGAGCCTTCCGGGTTAGGAGAAAACAGCTGATTCTTTGCTTAAGAGGTGAATGTTACAACTCTTCCAGCTCAACCCACATAAACAATTCTTAGAGTTTGGAGACCACTGTAAGACTGGAAAGTCAGAGCAAACATTTGTTGTGAGAAAGGCTCTAAGCTACCCAAAGAGGCAGAGAATGTTCGAAGGCAATCAGTTCATTTCTTTGTGTTCTGAATCTTAGCTAGAAGGAAGGAAAGTTCCACTTTAGATCTGAGGGAGATGCCTCCTTATTCAATTTTCTCTTTTGGTCACAGGCTCTTCCAGAGAAGCACCAGCAGGCGATTCAAATGTGGGTGTGAGAGAAGAACAACCTGGAGAAAATAGCTTTGGAGGCAACTGCTCTGTCGAGGAAGATTAAGATTACATGGACTCTAGGGTGGTTTTCACAGTTTATTTGTCAAAACGCAAACAGGAACAAATTCACTAAAATGGCCAGGCACTAAGTGTGTCTTGGAAAAGTGAAAGATCTGACTCCTCATGAAAGCGAAGACAATCTTCCCTCGCCATGCCCCTCTGTCTCTTCAGTGGACAGGGATTGGGGGTCATTTCTTCTTTAGAACAGGAGCTCCCCTCTGCTCCTTGGAGAGTGGTTTTTTGGGCTTGTTGACCCAGAAGCTAGCAACCCCTCCCACTCCCTTCCTCCCTCTTTTCCTCCCTCTTCTTTGCAGTCCTTTTAAAGAAATGGTCCAAGACTTCACTCCTCCTACTTTCAAGAGAACAAGTTGGAAAATGCTAGGTGGGGAAGGGCACCATTGCTCAGAACAGTCCCTGCCTCTTCTACAGGGAACTGGGGCGATATTGTCCAGGACTCAACTGGTGAAGGAGGCCACAGAGAAAACAAGTTAGCACACTTACTTAAGTCTAGCACCCCCCCAACCACTGTGGGAAACCCTGTTGTTAGACTCATAGTCAGGCCAGGCCCTCAATCTCTGCCTGAAATAGAGGAACAGTGGTTGAAGACTTCTCGATATTCCACAAAACAAAATTAGTTTTAAAAAATCATTTAGCTTGCTCTATAGCACATTCCTGGCAGATTTATTTGATATGCTTGGGGTTGGGGAGTGCTACAGTTCTCTTCAGATCCCAGAAGAGAGAAGCAGAGCAGAGGAGATCCACCAGGGTTTCTCCACTTCTGGGAGCATCTTTCCATCTGAATGTTCCTATTAGAAACTGAGACTCTCTTGTCATCTGGAGGAGGCTGCCTGTGCTGTCTACCCAAGCCCTACTCCAGAGCACACTCTCCCAGGCAGAGGGTGAAACAGACAACACCCTATAGAAATAACTGAGCCAAAGGTGATCTTTCCTGCATTGCCCTTATCTGGGTGTCTCCAAAAGAGCAGGAGAGCCCAAAGGCAGCTTCTGCCTGTGGTACATGACTCCTTGGCACTTTCTTCAGAATGTGGCCTGAAACTTTACTTCCAGAAGATTCAACAGAGTTTCTTCCTCCAGGGCCAATGCACATCTTGCAGGAAGTACTGCATTCTAGCTGAATCTACTCTCCATGGCTTCCTGTATGCATGTGCCTATCTGGGGTCACTCCATGTGGGCACTGTAGCTTTTGTCTACATCTGGACAATTGGCTGTGTACCCATGCATTCAACCCATGCATGTGGACACTTCTTTATTCCTCCAGCTCTCTTGTTAGGGTTCCTTTAATCCCCCTTAAGTGCGAATACCTTCTGTGGCTACCAGATGAGGGTGTGACCCCAGAGATCTGTGTTGGGTAGAGGAGGTGTAGGAGGATAGGTTCCTGACTTTGGGTGGGCGGTGAGTTTGGTAAGTTTTCCCAGTCACAGGCACCTGCATCTACCCTAATAAGTAGTAACCCTTTTCAAGAAGGAGCAACCCTCTGCCATCCCACGGCATGGGTGCAGGAAGGGGTGCGGCCAGCCTGCTAGACAATAGCTCCAAACAGCCAAAAAACAAGAGGCAGAGTAAAGTCTTCTGGCCCTACACGTTAGCCGCAAGGCATTCTAGCCACTTGTGTCGACCTGGGGCTCTGGAGAAAGCAGAGGCTCAGTAGTCAGGGAGCTTCCAAGCAAGCCCTCTAAGAGTTAAGGGACAAAAACTCTCCTTCCTGGCACCCCTGGAGCTGCAGCACTTAGAACTGCAAACTATGAGGACCCGCCCCCTAGGCTCCTCCTCTAGCCTTCACCCAAACTCTAAGCGCCCAGCAGGAGGGCCAGAGCTTGAGTCACTTTCTCCCCTGGGCACTTTTTAGGGACCTAAGGGCCTGGATAGCAGAGGCCAGGGTATTGAAAGCAGTGATCACGGGTTTCTAAACAACCCCAAGCGGTGTATTCCTCTGCCCCGACTTCTCTTCTAGGGCCTGGGCAGTTGGTGTTCTCACCCGCCTCCTGCGAGAGAGCAGGCAAGGGGAGTGCACCGTGAAGGGCGTTGTGCACGTGCGGTTGGAAGCGACTTCACGGAATCTTCTAGACGTGATTTTTCCGTGATTGAAGCTGACTTGAGACTAACTTTAGGCTATGTATTTCTAAAGGACGAGTATCAGTCCGCCTGTCCGCCTGTGAGTTTTTCCTACACGTTCGCACTGAGTGAAGTCACTTATCTTCACCCTACCCCACCCCCCAAGCAGCTTTTCTGGCTGAGTGAAAGGACCAGGTCCTGAGATCTGTAAGGCTGAAGTTCTTAATGCACACTCCAGAGGTCCAAGCTGTTTCAAGCCCTTGCAGGGTCAGGAGGGAAACCCTACGTGGGAAAAGGAGATTCGGATAACCACCCCATACCCACGGCAGGGAGGAGTTCTAACCTCGACACACAGGACCTTCGGACCTACAGCCTGGCCACCTCACTCCCGACCCAATCTGTGATCTGGATTGGCGGCGGAGGGGGGGGGGAGAACTGCTGAGGGAGTTGGGTTGACACAGGATGGAGGTGGAGATGGAAAAGAAGGAAGAAAAGAAGCTAGACTGGGTGGAGATGTGCAGATGGGTGACGATGAGGTGGAGACGGAGTTGGGGTTGCATCGCAGGGCACCAGCTATTCACCCTTCTATGGAGAGGTGCGTCTGGCTGCTCCGTTACCCCCCCCAAATAAAGCTAATGATGTAGTAATTTAGGAGGGGTGAGGGGCTGGGCGAAAGGAGGGAGGGGAGAGCATGGGGGAATGCGCGCCCCAAGAGCAAACAGCTAGCTGTAGAGGCGCTGCGGCAGTTGAGGCTTCCTAACAGGTTAGCTAGCCTAGGATCCACCCGGTATTTCGCAGGAAGGGGGGGGGGGTTGAGACAGCTCCTGGAGGGAGAGCCTTGCTGGAGGACAGAGGGAGGGAGAGAAAGAGAGATAGGAGCGACAGCGCGCGCGCAGAGCCCTTTGAAAGGACTTACACTTCCTAATGAATATTTATCCGCCGCTGCTACACGCTCCCGGCTTCTCTTACCTTTCCGCAGGTAAGATCCTCCCTGCTCCCCTACCCTGGGAGGGGAGTCATCCCGGTTCCCCCGGGCACGGGTAGTCAATCTTTGGGCTGCCGGGGTGAGGTGTGGGGTGTGGGGTAAGGTGGCTTCGCGGTGTGCGATGGGACCCGCACGACCAACAGAGTGTGGGGGCTGCCTGTGTGCAATGGGGGGGGGGGAGAGAGAGACAGAGAGAGAGAGAGAGAGACAGAGAGAGACAGAGAGAGAGAGAGAGAGAGAGAGAGAGAGAGAGAGAGAGAGAGAGAGAGAGAGAGAGAGAGAGAGAGAGAGAGAGAGAGATTGTGCGCCCCCGAGCGCGCGTCTGCTCGAGGTACTCCCTAAGGATTTTCGGACTTTTCTCGCGGACGCCCTGGATCTCTTGCCTTTGCCTTTCTTCGGTTCTCTTCCCCCCTCTTTTGGGCTCTTCAACCTCATCCCCCACCCCACCGCTACCCTTGGTTGCAGAACCGCTCATCTGCCCGGCTTTGTGCCGCTGGCTCGCGTCCCTCCGGGCAAGCTCTCGCACCTCTCACAAAGAGGACGCGGAGCTCTTTTTCCACTGTAACCCCTACACCGAGCCCTCTGGTCAAGGAATCCCTCGACCCCCTTCCCGCAGGTTCTCTTTAGCTTCTGCCGCGCGCTCTGCCTCTTTCCCCCTCTTGGGGCGCAGGGGCTCAGTGCAAGGAGATGCGAGTGATGTCGATGACTGAGACTCCGGGTACCGGGGTGAACTTCGCAAGGGGCCTACTAACCAGGGACTGCGAGCCAGAAACCCCTCCTATGGTAGGGGGCTAGTAACCCCCCACCCCCGCCACCGCTGGCGGGAGGAGCCCAGCGAACCCGGATCCGCCTAGGGGGAAAGAGGGAGGGGAAAGGGTCGGGGAGGAGCTGATGCTTTTACACAGAAATCTTTAAGCAGACTTACCCAGCCACCTGTTGAGAATCGGTCTGGGGTCGGTCAGCTCCGGATCTGCCTGAGGTGGACACAGAAAAACAAAAGCCAAGTTGGGAAAATTAGTTTCTTTGGCTACGCTAGGCGAGGCAGGTTAGGCTCACAGCCCTGCACTGGGGTCTCAAGGCTGTGAGATCCTAGAGGGGACTTTGCTAGAAGACCCAGGACTCAGCGTCCGTCCCCATCCCAGGCCTCCTCAGCTCAGAGCCCAGGGACTCTGAGTCCGTGAACTCAGGGCTCAGCACCCTCAGTTCAGTTTAAGCCGGGGCAGGCCTTCTAAGCCCTGCTCAGAAGTCAAGAGCAGCAGCGCCGCCGCTCCTTGCAGCCTTTCATGCCGCAGGCGCTTCTTATTCTTGTGTCTCGGCCTCTCTGGGCGCCCCGGGACAAAGCCCCCAGAACTCGGTCGCTCCCTTCCCGCTAAATCCCCTTCGGGGTCAGTGCGCTACCAGCACAGGGCCGCACGCCTCTCCTGCTAGCCGTGTGGCTCTTAAAGAGCCCCACACCCCTCCGCCCCTCGTGCTCCTTCGACCCCCGCCACCCCTCCCCTCTCCTCCGGATCTAGCCCCCCACGCCGACGCCTGAGGTCCTTGCTGCCCCGACCCAATGCCCGCAGACTCCCAACCCCCTCCTTTCGCCTCCTCCCCTGAGCAGCCGGCGGGGCTGAGAACTGAATTCTACCCTCCGTTTTAGGTCTCCCTTCACTCCAAGAGCAACCACCCCTGCTTTCGCCCTTTGAATGGATCATGACATGGCCACTATCTTTGCCCAGCTCAGAGATGATCCTAGAATGTCTACCCGGGCTTGGTTTAGGGGGTCGTGGAATGGAAAAGGGGTTGGGCCCGGGAGTGGAGCTGAATGGAAGGAGGGAAGGGAGGAGGGGCCGGTCAGATAGACTTAGACTCTGAGGCTCCGCTACCCCAGAACCCACATTGGCCTTCCTCGGTCGGCGAAAGCTGACCTTGAATGGGGTCCGGAGGTTAGCAATCTCACCCTGCCCGGTGGAGGCGGAGGGGGCTGTAAGCATGTGGAGACTAGCGTGTCCAGAATGTCCAGAAGAGTGGAGAGCTGAGAGCTCCCTGCTTAAGACCCTGTCTAAAGATCTACGAGCTAGGTGACAAGAAAGGGGTGAGGGAGGACCTTGAGTTCCAAATGTCCAGGGGGGACGATGGAGGAGTGGGAGCAGGGGGGAAAGCCAATTCTTCCTGAGGAGCGAAGTACAGTTTCGAAGGATTAAAAAAAATATATATTAACTAGTCAACCATGTCCCTTGGCCCAAAAGGAGAGGAAATAGATGCTTGTCGTCTGTAGTGGATGGCTGTCGATTCTCTTCCCTTTCGTCCAGAAATTTCCCTCTTTTATCCTCCAGGTTTGTATTGGGCCCCATCTTGCCCAAGGAGAGTTGCCTTGCCTAGGGTACCTTCTTCCGGCCTCTCTAGGGCTAGAAACACGGCTGAAGAGAGATCAGAGTAGGGGTAGCGGTGAAGGCAAGTGTGAACCTTCAAGTCAGGCTGTGGTGGCAAGTTTCATCAGCACTGACAGGTTCTATCTTTTCACTGTATGGGCTCTGTGGAGGTGCCGGCAGGGCGGTGTCGGTTTAGGGAGTTGAACCTGCGTACCCTTTCTCGGGTACAGGCCTGGGGTTCTACTTGTCGGAAGGAAGATTGGTGGAAAGAAGTATGAGGTCTCCTGGGGAGATGAGACCAAATGAATTTGAAAAAGGGAGGTGGAAAGCTGACCAGGACTCCCCCGTGTGCCTGTCCTTCTGCCATTCCAAGTCTAGCCCAGATGAACCTTTAAGGAACTGGGGTGTCTAATTGATTTACAGCTGGCCCTGTGGGGGAAAAGTTCGTGGTACACACGGATGATGAGCTAGATCCAAAAGCTGTATAATCCATCTCCCTCCTTCTCGGAACACATAACCGTTGGAACTCTCACTCCCCGAGTGTCTAGCTCCTTTCTCCTGGGGCTAGATCACTGTGCAGTCAGCAAGACTGGGTTTGTGCCCACCCTCCTGGGCCTGGCTGTGGGAGGTGTTCAGGTCCTAGACAGAGCCAAACCGCTCTTGTTTGAGGATGTGGGGGGTGGAAGAGCCTTTAGCGGGCGGTGGGGCTCATTAGGCGGAGCGGGGTGCGGAGGGGTGCGCGCTGCCGGCCCCAGAGGCCGCCTTTGAGCCGTCGGGGCGGCTTCATTAAGCAGCGTTAACAAGGCGTACAAATGCCGGGCCCAGCAGCTTTCTTGCAATGCTCGGGCCTTAGCAGGGCGCCAGGCTAATGAGGGTCACTCAAAGGGGCTGATCAAATATTCAAATTTCCCCTCACGCCGGGAACTTTTATGCACCGGGAAAGTTGAGGCAACTGAGCTGTGTTTACTGTCCTGAGCGACAATTGCTTGAAGCCAGGGTCCCCGGAGGCTAAGGAAGGGAGGGGAGCTAAGGGGAGGGAGCAGTTGTTGTTGTTGTTGTTGTTGTTCAAAGGAAAGTAATCGGGGGTCCTTGAAGGGCTTCGAGGCCTCCCCGCCCGAGCACTGAGCTCCCCGGCGCCCTCCCTGGCGGCCTGCGCCAAGCTCCTTCGTTTGCAGCTTGCGGGGAGGCCCAGACCACCCGCTACCCAGCAATCTCCATCTTCCAACGTCCTACAACCCGGAAGAGGCGTTGCCCCCCAGGACCAACCTTCCTGACCATTTGGGTTGGTAGTTCCGGGTTGAGCAAGGATAACCTGGTGTAGCTGTTCCAGGCCCTCTGGAGCACGCTCTCCCGCAGACCTGCGGAACCCTTGGTGTACCAAATAAGAAGGGAGTGGGGTTCCTGCAAAGTCCCCTGATTAGACCCCAGACTTTCCTAGCGCTGTGGCTGAAGCTGACGTCTGTAAATAAGTGCCTGGCACAGTACGATGGTACATTCCCCGGTTCAGGTGCTCCCCTTTCTCCCCGCACCGACTGAACTCTGACCCAAAGATTTGGTAGGCCGGGGTTGATAGTGTCGGCAATTTTGACTGTGCAGGTGCCCTCTGTGGGTGCTAGACCGACAGATCCGCCAAGTCCCAGATCCTTGAGTCTCAGAGGCCAGAAAGAAAGAGATCTAGAGTCCCTAAGAGGTTAATTCACCCCGGTCTTGCGGCTCTGAGAGTATTAGGTGCAGACGATCCTCAGCATCCCAACTCCTCTGGAAGTGCCCTAGGCTCTTCCTAGCTCTCCCATTCATTACCCACCCCAGACTAGCGAAGAAGGCAACCTGGGTCATCGGCACCGGCCCCCTTTCCTCAGTGCTCAGTGCGTGGGAATTTGGAAAAACTCCAGAGGTCCACTGCCCACCCTCTCCCCAAATGCACACACCTAAATCTTTCAGATCAAAACTCTACCGATCCCCAGGGAGATCCAGTCGTGCAATAAGCATCGGGAACCATCCGCCCCGCCTCCCTGCCCAGCTCTCAGGACTCTCAACTTACCGGCTTTGGAAGCCGCGTAGTGCTTCCGGCCTGAGCCAGAGAAGCTCTGCTGGCGGTGTGACCGGAGGTGGGCTCAGAGGGCGGCGCAGAACTCTTGTTCTGCTGAGAGGCTCTCCCAACAGTTCCTGGCTGCTGTAGGCCCGGCCGGGGTAGAGGCGCACTCGGAGCCGTGTGCCTTGCCTGCTGCCCTGCTCCCGGCTTAGCGATCGAAAGGCGCGGCCGCCACCGAACTGGAGTGCAGGGTTGCTCCGGAGCAGGGTCTGCAATCCTTTTGCCTCAATTCTTCCTGAGTGGCGAGGGTTTTCGATTTCAGTGCTTTCGGCACAGCCCGCGGCACCTGCCCAGCCTCCCTCCAGGCCTGGGTCCCCCCACTCGGAGGCGGGGGGGTTGCAGGGATTGGGAGGGACTGGCCGGGTTCACCCGCCCGCCTGGCGCCTGGGTCCCCGGCTCCGGGGGATGCAGTTTCGGGGTCACGAGCTGCTTTCAAAAAGTTGAACACAATATTCGGAAACCCACCCGTAGGAATTCTCCCCCCCCACGCGGCACAATACCCACTCCCCTCCCCTTTTTCATTCCTTCCTCCCCCGCTTCCTCCTCCTGCCCCTTCTCCCTCCCACCTTTCAGCCTATAATCCTTCCCCTACAAGAGAAAGGGGTCGGGAAGAAAAGACGAAGTGTCTGTTTTTGTGTCCCAACCTTTGGGCTCTTTCTGGGCCCGCAATGAGCGACCGCCCAGAGCTTCGCGGAAAAGCACTCTCTACAGAAAGATGAGAGGGAGAGAGGGAGAGAGGGAGAGAGAGAGAGAGAGAGAGAGAGAGAGAGAGAGAGAGAGAGAGAGAGAGAGAGAGAGAGAGAGAGAGAGAGAGAGAGAGAGAGAGAGAGAGAGAGTGCGCCAAAGTGGGGCTCGACGGATCCACCTTTTGGGGAACATTCTTCCACCGTAGTCAGTGAGTTTGGACTCCCCCACCTGCCTCCTGCTAGAGAGCCAGTGAAGCCCCAGTCGAACCCAAACACACCTGTCACCCTCAAAGCGGGTTTGCACTCCTAGGCCCTTTAAAACCTGGCACTGCTGGATTAAGGCCTAAAAAAGACCCGAGCTTGAGATTTGGGGCCTGCGACCATTTTAGCTCCAGGCTCCAGTTAGATTCGTATTTAAATTCTCCCACAATGTCTTTTTCACTCCTCCCTCATTGAGATCTCCCGAGTGGTGTGTACCCGGCGCCGCGCCCCCAGATCTGCATCGGAATGTAGAAAGGATCTTTTTTTTCTCAAAAAAAAGTTTTGAATTCCTCAATGATTTTTCTTCTGGAAAGGCAGCTTAGGATAATTATTTCAGCTTTATTGAGAGCAGATTAGTTGAAGTCTGGGCGCTGCGTTTCAATACGCGTTGTACATGGGCCGACAATGTGGGTATTGTTGGCTACTGTGTGTGAATCCATTCAACATATACACTTTTTAACACCCAAACCGAATCCTGTCTAAATATACACAGTGCGTAGGGAAAGATGTCTCTGACCCGGACAAATCTGCGTAAATCACACTTCCATAGTTACAGAAGCCTTACAAAGGGAGATTACAAGATGCAGATTACAACTTCTCACAAGCAACATACCTAAGAATAAATGCCCATGGCTGACTTGGGGGCTGTGGTGCCCAGCAGGCAGGGAAGGTCTTCTTTCTTAGAACCAGGGGGAGTCTGTTTCAGGCTTGTGATGTTTCCATATGAAGAAATTAGATTTTTACTATTTGTCATTATAGTTATTTACATTATGAGCAAACAAGGAACTTTCAGGCCTTGGGTGTTTACTCGTGGTGCCCCCTACAGTTTCAGCATCTGAGGACGCTGGGCAGGTCCAGTGGTTGTGCCCATGGTTGTAAGAAAAGTGGGCATCCTCCAGACTCCCCAAGGTCTAGAGGGTCCCTAGGTTTCTGTGTTGCTACTCTACAACTGTGTGGGCAGCTGAGGGTGGAGAGACAAAGGGTGGGCTTGCTTTTGAAATGGAGAAAGTGTAGTGCTGTTTCCAGTATTTTAAGATACTCGGCGATGGGTCATACGGTGGGTGATGGATGCTCCTTGTCTGGGAGCAGGGTAAAGAACTGTGCCTTCAGCAAGGAAGGAGATGCGGTAAATGTAGTTCAGTGACCCTGGCCAGGAAAGCCCTCACAGGTCCTGGGTTCAACCTCCTGGGTACCACATATTGTCTCCCAGATCTAAGCTCACCCAGAGGCTTACTAGGCGGAGTGTGCAATAGGCCTCATGCTCTCTCTTCTTTTTCCCTGACCACTATTAGCGCACACATAGACAGAAAGATAGACACCATGGCAAACCTTGCCGGGCCACCTGGTCCTCAGCCTCTACACAGACAAGCCGCTTGGTGCTCCTGAGGCTGGGAGATCCTTCCCTTCCCCGAAACACTCCTAGTAACTAATTGGTTGTCTCATTCAACTACTCTATGTCTATTCCTTTTCGAATTTGTAGATCGACTTCCTTGAGTAAGGAAAGAGAGAGAGAGAGAGAGAGAGAGAGAGAGAGAGAGAGAGAGAGAGAGAGAGAGAGAGAGAAGATATTAAGAGTTGCAAAGATTTTTTTTTTAATTCTGTTTCGCCTTCTTCTCCCTCCTCCTCCCCACCCCCCCTCCGGCTAAGTGGTAAAACCGTCCTTACGTTCTCGGTATTGATTGGCAGGGCTGACAGTGATTGGCAGTGGTTGCCGTGGCAACGCCACAACGACACGCCGCAGACCAATAGAAAAGCGAAACAAAATGTTTCAATGCTGCACTCACTGTGGATTTAGGGGAGATATTATGAGGCTGTTGTCATTAGGGCGATTGCTGTGGAATCGCTGAATCTTGACTCGCCGGTGGTTGGCTCTCGCTCTCCTCTCGCTCTCCTGTCTCTCCCTCTCCCTCTCCCTCTCCCTGCCTCGGGTTCTCTCTCTGCGCGCGCGCACCGGGCCGCTCTCCTTCCTCCCTCTCTATGTGGCTGCGCGGGTGTGTGTGTATGTGGATGTGTGTGGGGTGTGGGTGTCCCTTACGTCCTTCCTCCTCCCCCTCCTTCTCCTTCTGCTCCCCCCTCCTTCCCACCTCCTCCTCCCCCCTCTCCTCTCCCTCCTCCTGGTCCTCATCGCCCCTCTCCTCCTCTTCCTCCCCTCTCTCTTCCTCTCCCTGAATTTTCTCCTCTCCTCTCAGGTCAGTCCATGGTATTCCGCTCCCCCCTAGACCTCTATTCCTCCCACTTCTTGTTGCCAAACTTCGCCGATTCTCACCACTGCTCCCTACTTCTGGCGAGTAGCGGCGGCGGGAGCGGTGCGGGCGGCGGCGGCGGCGGCGCGGGAGGAGGCGGCGGCGGCGGGAACCGTGCGGGAGGCGGCGGTGCTGGCGGAGCAGGCGGCGGCGGCGGCGGCGGCTCCAGGGCCCCCCCGGAAGAGTTGTCCATGTTCCAGCTGCCCACCCTCAACTTCTCGCCGGAGCAGGTGGCCAGCGTCTGCGAGACGCTGGAGGAGACGGGCGACATCGAGCGGCTGGGCCGCTTCCTCTGGTCGCTGCCCGTGGCCCCCGGGGCGTGCGAGGCCATCAACAAACACGAGTCGATCCTGCGCGCGCGCGCCGTCGTTGCCTTCCACACCGGCAACTTCCGTGACCTGTACCACATCCTGGAGAACCACAAGTTCACCAAGGAGTCTCACGGCAAGCTGCAGGCCATGTGGCTCGAGGCGCACTACCAGGAGGCCGAGAAGCTGCGCGGCCGTCCGCTCGGCCCGGTGGACAAGTACCGCGTGCGCAAGAAGTTCCCGCTGCCGCGGACCATCTGGGATGGCGAGCAGAAGACTCATTGCTTCAAGGAGCGGACTCGGAGTCTGCTGCGGGAGTGGTACCTGCAGGATCCCTACCCCAACCCCAGCAAGAAACGTGAACTGGCGCAGGCCACCGGCCTCACTCCCACACAAGTAGGCAACTGGTTTAAGAACCGGCGACAGCGCGACCGCGCCGCGGCGGCCAAAAACAGGTCAGTGGCAGGGACCGCGGCCGGCCGGGCTACAGCATCCGGGGTTGGGGAAGGGGAGAAGTGTTGAAATGCAGGTGATCCAGTCATGGTAGGGGCAGCTGACCCAGAGCTGGAGAAGCCAGGACACTCCGGGTAGTTGGAGAAAGTTTTAGGTTGCCCTGGAACAGGGGACGACAGACTGCGTGTTTATAGACTGCTTTGCCCAAGAGGGGCTTTTTATCAGGGCCAGAACTTATGTCTCTAGTGTCCTCAACCCATGGAGCCCATCTTGGGAAGCTGTAGTCCCCTGGTGGGTTTCCTCAGCCCTAGGCCCAGCTATAAGACTGGAAAGAAAGGAAAACTCTATTTGCTGTCTGATTATATCTATGCATCGCAAAAGAGGGGCGGCGGGGCGGGGGGAGCCTTACAGAAGTTCAGAAGCGGCAAAGAGCGGGGAGATGAACCTGGGTTCCTGCCACAAAGGGAAGAAAGCCCGTGGCCACTATCCAGGGAGCTTCATTCCGGGACCCTGGACAGGAGAAGCAGGCTGGGGTGAAGAGGCCTAGTGTGTTTTACTCTATGTGTTCGCACAAGTGTGTCCACTCCCGGTGTTCCTCAAGCATTAAGTCCCCCGATGTCCTCAGTTAAGGCGCACCCATCGGTTTGGTGCACTCGCTCAGTTGGAAAGCAAACACCCAGCAGGTGCAGCTCTGTAGCCCGGAAGTTGGTTACAAAGTCACAAAGTTGTTTTGGTTCTTGTCGGATCCTTAAAGCTGGGTTAGGAGAAATACAAGAAAAACAGGAGAGGGGATAGAGAAAATGAGTCCAAATGGAAGAGAAAAAGAAGTGTGTGTGTGTGTGTGTGTGTGTGTGTCTGTGTGTGTGTGTGTGTGTGTGTATGTGGGGGGGGTGAGCCAAAGCTCTGACACAGAGTCTTGCTCCGCTTGAAAGGCACTAGGCCTTGGCACACTGCAAGGATCAGGAACCGCAGCTGCTGACAGCTGCTGGTGGCTGGAGGCTTAGAGTGACTAAGTACCTGGACTGTGTGTGGGTTTAGGCGGTCCAAGCCTGAGGCCACTTGCCTCTCATCTCTGCCCGTGGAGGCCACTTTTCGCCAGATGGGGGGAGCATCCAGGACCAGGGAAAGGCTTTCTTATGGGGAGACACGAGGTTCAGGCAACTGCTTTCTTGCCCGGGAAAGAGACAGTCTGTCCTTCCCTCCTGCCTTCTCTTTCTCCCCTCTTCTTGCTTCTTTCACTTCTCCCCATCTTTTAGCTCCCCCCCTTCCCTATTTTCTCTTCCCCGGATCCAGCGCTTTCCGCACAGGGACTCAGAAAGTAAAACGGTGTAAAACGGTGGGTACTCTTAGGAGAACACCCCTCTCCCCCGCAGCTCTGGATGTATGTTTGGGGAAGCCGTGGCAGGAGGATCTGTGAAATTTCTGGGTCTCCAGGCAGCGAGCCCAGTTTCAAGAGCCTCCGAGGTTGCGGAAGAAGAGCGAAGCTCTTCCCTGCTGTCTGCTGATCCAGGGTTCAACATCCCTTGCCGCCTGCTCAACTCTCCACAGGCGGCTGGCTTGGGATTCAAGCCCTTCTCTAAGGCCTTCCCTATCTGGAACGCTTCCCTATGCCAAGGAGCAGGGACATGGGTTAGGAAAAGCTCTCCGGTACTCCGGGCACAAGCAGCTGGGTGCCTGGAAGAACACAAAGCGCTGTTGGGGGCTTTGGCTAGGGCTCCAGGAGGCCGCAGAGGGAAGGGAGTGCGGGCCCAGGGGGGCCAAGCTCCCCGCGGTGCGAGCCAGGGGAGCAGAGTGGTGGGCCTTTGAGTCAGGGCGAGCACGGCTCTCTCTTTCCCGCAGGCTCCAGCATCAGGCCATCGGACCCAGCGGCATGCGCTCGCTGGCCGAGCCCGGCTGCCCCACGCACGGCTCGGCAGAGTCGCCATCCACGGCGGCCAGCCCCACCACCAGCGTGTCCAGCCTGACGGAGCGCGCGGACACCGGCACTTCCATCCTCTCGGTAACCTCCAGCGACTCGGAATGTGATGTATGATAGCCAAGGCCGCCCTCCTCCTCCTTCCCCTCCTCCCTCTCCACCTTCCCCTCCTCCTCTTATCCCTGCTACCCTTCTGCTTCATCCCTAGAACAAACCGAAGTCAGGACACACACACACACACACACACACACACACACACACACACACACACACTCCATATACACTCCCACCCCAGCCAAAATATATATATATATATAAAAGCAAGAAAAATAAATTAACCTCAAACCATCAGCAACCCCCCACCACCTACCACCACAGCCACCCCAAAGGACCGCGACGCCAACAGACAGTCACAAACGCCGACGTTGCGGGCAGAAAACATAAAAGAGGTGACAATTGTATACTTTCCAGGACAAGCACGGTTTCTCCTTTTGGTTCCCACGGACCCGGCACCCCACCTGCATGACGATTTATTTGTATCTGGGAAAATATTCTCTCTAGTTTAAAATGATTTAAGGAGTCGACCATACAAAAACCGCCGTGACGACAAGACGACTAAAGCAGACAAAAAGAAAAGAAAAAAACCACCACCAACAACTGACATCTCCGTTCTGAATCTGGTTTTTAAAAAGAAAAGAAAAGAAAGAAAGAAAGAAAAAAAACTCCTCGAGAGAAATAGCAAATGTTTCTTCCTTCTGTTGCTCTCTTTTCTCCTTCAACTCTTTCTCTTTCTCTCTCTCTCTCTCTCTCTCTCTCTCTCTGTTTTTAAGTCCAAGTATTGGTCAAACACGATAGAACCTTTTGTTTTTTGTTCAGCAGACAATCATTTTCTTCGTAAGCACCTTTTCCTCTCCACTCTGTCACTGCCTGTGTGGGTACTGGTTATAAATGTGGAAAAAGAATAGTTATGACTGTAACAGATTTTTATTTTTATTTCAAAATTTTATATGAATTATGTATATCTTAATGATTGGTCATTTTCCCAGTTTGTAATATATGTGTAGAAATTGCTTGTATATGATACCTGCTTTTTTTCCCCCTCTCCTTCCTCTCTCCTCCCTCCTTCCCTGTTCACTCACCTCTTTCCTTTTGGGGGTTCCTCCTCCCACTTGGGGTTCCTGGCTTCGACTTGGTAGTCGAGGCTTGGCGAGGTGGCCAGGGTTAGGGCGAGAGAGGGACCCTCTCGCTAGGGAACGCGTGAGGCGGTAGTATTCTTATGCAAAAGCTATTCAAGTTTTGCCTAGCCGCTTCGATGGCCTCATTCACTCCCGTAGGGCGCTTTTACTGTTATCTTAACTGCGTGTTTATCTATATGTAAAAACTTTCTAAAGCAAATACAGTATTCTCCATTTTCTTATCACTCCCAGAGACTGGTGTTTGTGTCCGCCCAGGCCGACGGTTCCCGGGTGCAGCGGCCCAGCCTAGCACTTGCTCTCTGTAGCTCTGCAGCCGCCAGAGCGTGGGGGAAGGATGTCAAAGCTGGGTCTGAGATTTTTCTGGAAGTTGAGCGGAAATCTGGGAACACACACTTGCTTGGGAAGCGAGCCCAAGCAGCACCCCGAGAGAAAGGCCGAGAGGATCGGAGGGAAGGGGTTACAAACTAGTTTCTTCCCCGAAGCGCTTTGCCCTGGAATTACAGCGTCCTGTGGCCTTCGTGGGTCCTTGGGATGTTTTGTTAGCTTTCTGGTTATTGCTTTGCTCTTTTAAAAGGAGAAACACACAAAGTCCCCCAACCCAAGCATCCATCCTGAACAAAGCTTAAATTTTGTCTTCGTTGCCTTTTTTCCTTCCTCTCTTTTTTGGGGGAGGTGTAAAATAGTTAGCTGTGGCCCGGGTGGGAAAGATAGGGGGAGGGTAGAAGGAGGTAGCTTTCTGACTGCAGGGCCTAAAACCAGGGTGCTCCCCGCCCCCACCTTCACCAACACCCTTGTCTGACAGGGTCACTTGCCTTAAGAGTCTGGACCTATCTGAAATTT